CTCGAGGTGCTTTTGCCAATCTCCGCCACCTGTGGCGCAGACGCGACGTTACTCTCGCCCTGAAGGGCAGAGTTTACAACGCAGCCGTCCGTTCAACTCTCCTATATGGCTGTGAAACCTGGCCCATCAGGTCGACAGACATGAAGAGGCTCGTCACATTCGATCATCGCTGCCTTCGCAGCTTAGCTCATGTCTGGTGGGAACACCGCGTGAGCAATGAGCGTGTTCGACGTCGCGTATTTGGTGCAGGAAGAGCGAGTGAACCGCTCAGCACGATTATATCACGCACCAGGCTCCGATGGCTGGGCCACGTGTTGCGCATGCCAGCACACCGACTCCCGCGACGTGCATTGTTTGCGCGTTGTGGGTGCGGTTGGAAGAGGAGGAGGGGAGGCCAAGTGATGACTTGGTCGAGAGAAATGAAAACCCTCACTTCGAAATTGGCGTCGGTTGGTGCATCCCGACTGCCTGGCTGGGGTCCTAAGGACGGTGAACACGTTTGGTTGGACACACTTGCTGATATGGCTAGGAGCCGGCCCCAATGGCGTTTGTGTTGTGAGTTCCTTTGTCCATCCCCCTCCTGTTTAGCATCCCCCTCCAATCACGATCTCAATCGTTAGGCATAATATGACTTTCTTTTACGGCAGCCAGCTGTTAGCTCTCCGGAACGATGTCCATCCGTTACTGGGGACTCAGCGGGCGTGCCACTGTTTGTTATTTTTCTTGTCTTGTCTTTTGTATTGCAGCACAATAGCCGAGGTGTTTTCCACCTCCAGCTAACGTGTAATGATGAGGATGATGATGATGACGGCCAACCGCTATATCCCACACCCTCCGCGAATGACCTAGGTGTACTCTCGCGCTACGATTTGAAGTCTTTGGACAACACAAACAGGCTATATCGTAACGGACTGCGCATGCTTTGGGCGCTCAAACCTAGCTTCGGCACATGGTCTGAAGAGGTTGCCACTCGCCTCTTCTCTTCCATCATTAGACCAGTGCTAGAGTACGGTTCGCCCACTTAGTTTCCGATTACCCGAGGCGAAGCACAAAAGATCGAGCGAGTCCATCACATTGCTACCAGGCTCATCCCGAGTTTACGTGGCTTGGGGTATGAAGACCGGTGCGAGAAACAAGGACTCTACACCTTGTCCTATCATCGGGTCCGGGTGGACCTCATTATGATCTACTGTATTCTACATCTCTATGACTTCACGAGGGCCATGCAACACACGCGGACACAGATACAAACTTACGATACCGGATTTGAAGCGAGTTCCCCACCCACTGTGCTTCGAACGGAGAGTGGTGAATATTTGGAGCAGTTTGCCTGAACATGTGATAGAGGCAACATCTGTGCAGCAGTTCAAAACATTGTTCGATTTATCTTTTACCACCATTCGATTCAGAGAACGATTGCACACTTACGATGACATGTCACATTTGTGAGTTCTGCAATTCCATGAGTCAGATATTTTACATGAGAGCGATAACGATATTCACGGCTGACCATTTTTTATGACGTTTTTCACCATATTTCGAAAGAGTTGTACAGAATTCATTTCTACTTGCTCTATAATACAGTATTCAGGTCTCACTACAACAGCTCGAGTTTCCTGGTTTTGATCTCTGCGTTCTTGGGCGATTGCAGACTGCATGTCAATATCAGACACTTACACTGATCTTCAATGAGCGATTTTCGCTTGAATTTATGGCACTCTCGCTTTACTGTCGCTGCATGGGCTATGACTGTCGTTGTATCTTTTACACAGTTTCACGCAATTGTATCAGTTGTTGAAAACCTATGCTTATTCACCAAACATCTCTGTGAGTCGGACATTCGTTTCATCATGGCTGAAATATTGCACGCTGGCTGGCCCAACAGTGTCCTCATGGTGCCAGCTGGGTGGTTCAGGATTATCCTGTTTCGGCGAATGGTTCGGTGGCAGTGTCTCAGTACGTGATAGGTTTTCGCCTTCACAAGTCTTGCTATAAAAGCCACATATGTCCGTTTTACAGCGCTGTGTCGAGGCGAATGTGACTCGCCGTTAAATAAAGTCATTGCACCTTACCTCTCTCTGAGTGGCCTTGTAATTCCAGGGTGTGTTTGACCACTTGTCTCTACGGTCCTAAAGTGTATGAACCACTTGGTTGGTCACCGCCTTCCAACGGGTTGCGACGCACTAATATCGCCCTGTTGCCTTGTAGCTTGGATTCTTGATCAAAGGCTCGGGTAAGACCCCTAAGACATCGCGTTACTTGGGGCTGGGCAACCGGGTAGTATCACACCCGCTGTTGAATCATGAATGGACAATGCTACTACTTTCATTTGCTATGTCTACCTACTTTATTGTCTCTACTGCTAAATCCCCACTCACAAATCATTCCACGTCCCATTAGTCAACTACACTTATGTCCTCCCCGGTCATCACCAACAGCAGCTCACTGGTCGTACCTGACGAAAGTCAGAGTTAAGATCTTGTTTTTCAGTGCCCAGCGATCACAGTCTTCTCACACTCCACCGAAGCTCCAGCTGTTCTTCGATCTGGTTGTCCATTCGGCCTCGCAACGTTCAATGTTCGCACTCTGATGCAGACCGGACAGCAAGTATGCCTGACCCGCCTCTTGAAACGCTCTCGGTAGACATCTGTTACCTCTCAGAAACTGGACTGCAGGACTCCACCACCGTCATCAGAATGACCTCTCTGGCAAACCCTGACGTCAAATACCATTTGCGTCTGTCCGGTGACCCAGAGGTTGCCGCTTCTGGCCAGGCTGGTGTAGGAGTTGCTCTGAGTGACAAGGCTGAGTCCGCTCTGCTTGACTGGATCCCAGTCAACAGTGAGGTATGTGCCGTCAGACTACGAGGTTCATGTAAGTTAAGTAAGCGTCGAGATATGATCCGCGCCTTATTTGTTATCTCAGCCTACGCTCCTACAAATTACAGTCCGGATGCAGTCAAGGATTGCTTTTACCAACAACTGCATGACCTGCGTTCCGCTAAAAGTCTGCTATTGTCCTTCCTGTCTGAGTGGATCGTCTTTCACCAAGCATGGACCATTTTGGGAATAGTTTTGGCCTCGGTAACAGCCGCTCGAACAATGGAGACAGACTACTGACGCGTTGTTCCGATCATTGATCGTTTCTTTTGAGCACCAGTTTTCGACTCTCAAAGAGACAGACTGCTTCCTGGCGCCCGCCTTCTCAAACACAAGATTGGGCTCAGCTTGACCACTTAGCAATAAGCTACGGATGGCGTTTAAGCGTATCAGACGGCAGTTTGCACTGGCCAACGTGTCTGGACTCCGATCACGCATTGGTTCGCTCTAAGTTATGCATGCGTTTCGGAGGACCGCCTGGGCGTACCCACTACCGACCGAGCCTAGAAAACCTACAAGAACCTTCCTTTCAAAACTGCTTTAGCGTATGAGTCACTATCTCCAATCCGTGTTCACACCAGCATCAACCGTTTGCGTGTGTCTGTCTATCGATTACCCACTCACAAGTGGCTTGGCTTCAGTCATTTGATCGATCCTCTGTACACCTTCTGGCCAGAATACACGTTTGCGTACTGCTGGCTAGTTGTGTTCTGTTGTCTTTGAGTCGTTCGGTTACGAGCCATTATTGCGTTCGCAGGCTAGCGTTACTTTCGTACATGCAGACTTTAACAACTGCTTACCCCAACTTCTGACGATGGTCGGAATTCGTAGTGTTTGCGCAACGTGTCATCATCCTTAATGAAGTATAGGGATGGGCCACATCATTAGTTGGTAGCCCTGTGGGAAGAACGCAGTCACTCATCGGCTGTTTTGCATTCGATTAGCGTTCTGTCTCGTATTCGTGCTCATTACTGTTCTCTTCTCGTAGTGGCGCAAGTATTGACAACTGGATCCACCGAACTTTTGTGTCCGGATCATAACTGCTTAACGACGGAGTTGGACTGAGCTGGGCACCTTTTTGCGTCAGGTGCCACCGAGCACTCCATAGCTGTCTAGGTTCGGTGATGGATTATCCACTTCGTGTGGCTATTCCGTGGTACTAAAAGTTCAGTCACGGAATATTACACTGTTCTTTGGTTGGCATGCTGTGAGATGTAGTGGTATTCGTCATTTTGTTCGGCAGATTTTGCTTAGATTAGACCCTAAAAGTTAACCGAATGGTTCGTTTGGTCCACTGGCATGCTAAACTGTGCCACACGCCATGATTCTGCCCTTGTGGGATTCCGTGTGGCACCTGTTTCTGCCGGTCTATGGAAGCAAGTGACGTTATCTCATCCATTTGCAAAGTATACACATTTCCACTACGGACTGAGATATTGTGACGAATGATGCTTGCGACAAGTTGTTGTTCACTTTTGACCGACTCATTCCACACGCTAGCGAGCTGTGTGAGTTCGTACTTTTTGATAAGGCATCTACACCCTGATCTTGAATCTTTTGCTTAGGGCAATTCAGTTTTTATCCGGATCACTGGTCTCTCCATCTTGCTACGGCCTATGTGTTCTTGCAGCTACTAGACACTAGCACAAATATCTGACGTTCTAGTGCTGTTTTTTCTATCCTAATAAAGAAGATGAACGCTAACAATCCTAAGATCAGGGATATTTCTCCAGTGCTCCATATAGGATCGAATAAAGCAACCACACCAGGCACGACCTGCGTATTTTAGCACCCTTGGAGGTATGTCGTCGATTTCAGGTACGTTATCACCACAAGGACGCAAGTTCACCTCATGGTTTTCGCCAACTACCAAGGAGATTGATCAATTCTGGAGCCCTCATCGCTGTGCTTGTATACGCAGTTTTTCTGTTGGCACAAGACTTATGGCGAGTTGTGCTGTGTCGAACTGTTGGCTCATTTCTAAGTCTACCTCTAACTTTTAATGCTAGGTGCCATCTCTACTGTTCGGTTTTTGTCTATGCCTGTGCACACGTTTTCTAATGTTGATGTTTAGTGATCTTCTGAGTTTTATTGCTGTCCTATCTTGTCTACTTTTTACAGCTGGGAGCGTCAATCTGAAATTGCAGAAGCTCTGTCAAATGGAATCAATGTCGTCGTTGACCGTTATATTTACTCTGGCATAGTTTACACTGCGGCCAAATTTAATCCCCTAACGAGCGCCGATTGGAGTTGGTGTCGGTCCACGGAATCTGGTCTCATCCAGCCGAACCTCATTTTGTTTCTGGCTCCCGAGAATTTCACCGAAATTGCAGCTCGAGACGGATTCGGACAGAAACCGCATGAAACCCAGTCGTTCCAAGTTCGTGTTCTGTCTAATTATGCTCGTCTGTCACGTGAAATGGAGTGTGAACTGAATGAGGAAGCCAATGGTATTGGGGACAAGGACACCTCCACTGCGAAGCCAATCCTATGGAACTGGGTCCAAGCCACAGGCCAAACTGTTGATGATATCCATATGTGCGTTATGTCCATTATTGACCCTCTCCTGTAACCGTTGCCATGCTTTTCATTTATCCCGGTTGAGTTAGATCCCGCTCTTCATTATTGATAATATTCTTACCGTGAATCTTCACTCTGTCTTCACTTGTCCCAAGTGCGATACCGTAGATAGCTTCTATGCTCACTTCAGTTTTTAAACTTATATCATGTTTTATCCGTTAATAATCGCTCCCGACACTGCACTGGTTTCATCTCTTGCGGAGATAACCGGAGCTGCGAGTGACACCTGTGAGGCTGTGGTTGAATACTAACACCTTGCTCAATGAAACACTGAGCACATCAGACTAGAATACCCGCTGTTTGTTTAGATTGCGACACATGATGTCAACTGTGAGTACGATTTACGTTGAGATAAATCCCAATCAGTCCTATCATTTAGATCACATCTATAGTGCGAAATTGTCATTGTTACTCACTCCCGAAACCGCATTCCACGGCTGCTTTCATCCTTCTTTGGACTGCTGAACTAGGCATAGCCGGAACGCTTCGCTATTCAAATACACACCGCGTACTCCAAAACCCAACAACGAGTTCCCTGATCTCGGTGCCAATGGTTTTTCACATTGTTGATGGACTAGTGATCAAGGCGCCGGATAACAACTACATCCTGGGTTTCTAGTTTCAACTCCGGTTCTTCTCACTTGAAAAGTCTAAACAGGGACCAAACCGACCATGTAGCGGATGTTGGGAATGATCAAGATAAAAAACAAGTACGTAGATTTATTGATACACTTAGCCGACTAACTGAACCGAATATCTAAGCTTCTTGTGACCAACTAACTAGCTAACCAGTTGATATACACCTTTCATCGATACCACACTGTAGGCATGGGTTCTAGGAACTCAGTTGCATTACCTTGTTTATTGGTTCTGAGTTTCTTGAATTGTCAGTGTTCACTTGAACCCCGGACAGTTGTTCTGTTGATTCAATAACCTTTTGCGAATGCAAACCATGCCGTCCTTCTCTGATGCTTTGATTTTTTAACGGTAAACTGGTTGAATATGATTTACCGGATACTGCTGCATCACAAGCGTCTGCTGAGCCCATCAATCTCGGTTTATGAAATTTGGATTGACTAGTCACGCGCCCTCAGTCAGTGTGACACTATGCACGAATGTGACTCAATTTCCACCATGCGCCTTTCCGATACCATCATTCTTTCACCTTGCGACAACCGACCCTTCGCTGAACCGAATGCCACATGCTCCATCTGACTGCCATGTCGGTCATCATTTTCACTCTAGGAATTGAAAAATATCCGGCTATTGTGCCGCAATACATTTCAGTCAGGTCACAGCAAATAAAGAATCAGCAACAGTTTAAGCAAAATGAAACGAATATTATTATATATTGCCAAGCGGGATAAGGATGAATTAAAAACAACCCAGATTCTATTGCGATCGGTTCCTGACCATTTCAACAGGTGTATTCAACCAAACGTGCCCACATCTTTCGGACCCCAACCGAAAAGTTGAGAAGCTCTAACCGTCTTCAACTTTGACGTTACTTCGTTCCTCTTGACGAAATCATCTGTTGGATTTCCCTCCTCTTTTTCCATCCCGACTTCGGTGGCATAGACAACACACGTTGCGTGGGTCGGTGAACTGGCATGTGTACCAAGCGACGCAGCCATCGGACTCTTGTGCATGAGTTAATAGTGCCCAAAACACCACGCCGAACACGCTAATTACTCACAGCGTATCCCCACTAGATGTGACCTAGGGCTGCGTATGCACTGGTGCACGACGTAACAGGTTTCTTTACTTCCGATGGGCCAGATTTCACAGCCGTGCATGGTGGTTGAACGGACGGGTGTGTTGTAGACTTTACCATTCAAAGCGAGAGTGATGTGCCATCGACACAAGTAGCGAAAATTGGGAAAAGCGCCTCGAGCTTCTGTATACAACCATTATCTCCTATTTTACAGACGCTACTAGAGCTGCCTAGAGAATTGAATTTCTGGATGATCTCTAATTGATCATCACCAAGAGTCAGTGCGGGGGTCTATCCTTTATAAACTGAAAGTAAAGCTTTGCGTTTAGAAAGTGCAAAGTCCAGCCCAAATGGACTGGCAGTCAGTGCTAATTTGTCTAGTATTGCTTCGCACGTTTGTAAGCTATCACATATAAGAGCAATGTCGTCGGCGTACTTCATGTCATGATGTCGATCACCTGAGAGCAACTCCGCACCTTGAAGGACTTGCCCAGTGAGTGTGGTTTGCAATGGTGAAGTTAAAATGGAAGGGTGACAGCGGGCAACCTTGCGTCCTACTGCTGGAGATATTAAAGGGCGGTGACAATTTGCCACAAGTCTTTCCTCTAACCAAACTACGTCTACAGAGCGCTGTGACATTGTTTATATATTTATCGGGCACACACTCCCTGATCAAACAGTCCCAATGGGTGCTGATTCGAAGGCAGCTTTGATGTCGTGGAACACGATTACAGTGAGTCGCCGATATGTGTGTCGGTGTTCCGATTGACGTAATGTCTAAGGTGCCAAATGCATCTTAAATTTACACGAAACTCGGTTTGCTCTTTATGAATCTGGCTTTCCCTGATTCCATCAATCCGTGAAGTAAGATAGAGGCTAGTAACTTAGAGGCGATGGAGATCAAACTAATTCTTGCATGAGTACTGCATTACGAACGTGTGCCACTTCGAAGATGGGGACAATAACAGAGCAGCTCCAGTCGATTGGGACAGTCACCCGATTTCAAAATCTCGTTGATAGTTAGTGTAAATATTCAGCATTTGAAGTGGGCTGAAGATTCATCTGGTTCTGTCGTCTTATTTAACTCCAGCGTTCCGATCTCACACTCGGCCTCTGCGCGTAAGGACCGATCCAAGGGAATAGCCAAAGAAGCATTGTGGTCAATAGCTAGCAGCTAATCCGGGGGTTCCGGTCGGCTTTTCAATCTACTCACTCTAACACCACAAGCGTTTTGATAAGCTGCGGATTGGCCTCCCCCTCTTGTCACCTAGGGTCTTGCTAACACCAGTTCCGATGCTTACCAATGGTAGTGGCCGTTTTCATCTCCTATATACGATGAGACTACCAGGCTTCGCGGTCTGTTTTCATACTGGTCCGCAGCTTTTGCTGTGAGACCTTTGGGGGTCTCATGTCCACTCCAAACCAGGAGGCGTCGGCGAGCATCCGGATTTTCCCGAACCTGCGTAGAGACCCAGTGTCCCTGTTAGAATTCAGGTTCACTACATGAAGACATCTTATATGGTCTGGCGAACCTGCGACCAGTGACCCTCAACTGTTTTCAGTGAGTGCTTACTAAACCCGAATTCCAATGTACCCATTCAGAACAACTGACCTCGCCGGTTGCCGAGTGTCTCACAGCGTCGTAGCGGGCGTCCACCGACACGCACCCGGAGATCGACGTACCTGTGCTCCAAATCGAGTGACAGTTTTGGACAATGCGTCTCCAGTTGTAGTTGACTCATTGTGGTCACCCATTGACACTACGACTACACATTACAGCAGTGGTCATGGCCCACGTCCTAAAGGTCTTAGATTAAACAGGGGCTTTATGCTGGAAAGGTGACTCCCCGTGTCCCAATGACAGTCGTGAATAATAATGCTGCTACACAGTGTGGCAACCACACTTCCCCATTGTTCCGGCGATGTGCCAAGACTGTTTTCCTGGCAAGCTTGTACATGGCTTTGCTGAAACATAGACCATTTATTTATGCCTCTCTCCATACTCTCTTCCGCCTCCTCCTTTCACAATGTCTTCTGCTAGCCCTTCGGCAATAACACCATATCCTTTTAAACTCGATCGCCACAAATTACCACAGCATTCTTTTTGTATTCCCCCACTCATTCTCCCACCCCCTCTAATCCCGATAGAACTGGCCAATCTCAAGGTAAGAGATTTGCTGCGAACTGCTCTGGAACTAGTGTCATTGCAAGAGTAAATACTGGGTGAAATGATGAACAGCGCCAGGACTTTTTAAGACTGATGATACTTAATATCTGTTCTCTGTTGAATAAGCTTCATTTACACCGCACCTTCATATGTTCGAATAAACCGGATACACTTTTACTCACTGAAACCTGGTGCCATGATTCTATGCCCAAGCAGCTGCCTTCTATCGAAAGTTACAAGCTTATTAGAAGTGATCGAAAACAAGGCAGAGGAGGTGGTTGCATACTTTACTAGTGGCAAAACCTCTTTGTCTCTGAACTCACACTCCCACGTATATGCCCCACTATTGATTCTGCTTGGTTACTCTTGTTCTTTGGTACTAAGCGAACACTTGTAGGCTGTATATACCGCTCACCCGGGGCCAGCTTCAGTGATGAGAATCAGTTGGTTGACATCTTCAATTACATATCGGAATTTGGTTCTTTTGATAAAGTTGTAGGTGGAGATTTCAACCTACCAGATATCTGTTGGTCAAACTTAGTGACAAACGCAAAACGTGCTGAGTTCATAACCTCCGTCATCACTGGTGGTTGGGATCAACATGTCCTCGTGGCTACCAGGGGTAAAAATATGCTAGACCCACCTTTTACGTCAGGCACGCCCCCGACAGCTACTGATATAATTGACGGTCTCCCTGGATGTGATCACAAAATAGTCGGATGTAAAGCTATACCTGAGTCGTCGCATGTGAGGTCAGCGGTGGTTCCACCCTTCCTGCAAAATTTCAGTTGGTTAACTTTCTCCTCTTTGCTTGGGGTCAAAATTGGGACCATTTCTTTCTTTTGTCTGATATTCAGGGAGCCTCTGACACCTTCTATGACAATGGGACTATGCGCTTAAGCATGCTTGCCTCCAGTGATAATACGAGCGCCTCTTCTAAGTACGTTATCAACGCAAAGAACAAGCGAAAAATACGAGTACTAACTCCAACATATGAGCGTACTCACGACTGTAGCGTTTTACTGAGACTCCAACGCCTTATAATTGAGACGGACATGAAACATCAAACCCGTCTCATGTAGGAAGAACACCGAGCTGTAAATACTAGTAATCCAAGTCATCCGGTGACTGCATTATTGAGAAAAAGGAGAGGCGGCAAACCTGACCTACCCTCTCACATTGTCATGCCTGAAGGCGAACGCATTGATTCCCCAATTGCTATAACAGAATTCTAGCTCCTATGTTGCTGAATCCTTTAATCTTGAAAAAGAACCGCTGAAACTGTCAACATTGATTAACTTCTCTGAACAAGTCTCAGCGATCGACAATAATGTCACTACAGGAAAACGCATGATTGACTGTCTACGACCATCCTACAGACCTGTCCCCGATGGGATCTCTTCTGATTTAGTCAAACATGGTGGAGATAACATTCTTCTTGTGATACTGAATATCTTCTCTTTGTCTCTCCAGTCTGGTCAATAT